AAAAAAAAAAAAAAAAAGAAGAATGGGGTTTCACAAGAGGCTTTTTAGAATGGCCTTGGCTCCTGAAAATCCTGCCTCTAAACAGTCAGGCTACAGTGATGTAGGAATGCAGGTGCCACCACCATCCGCAAATTCATTTCTGGACAGAAAGCTCAGACATGTGCAGAATGACAGTAAAGGGGATCCAAACAGCCTGGCATGATGCAAACTCATCCCCAGCAGCATGATGCAAAGCCATCCCCAATGACAAAGCACTCGATGAAGTTGCTGTTGCCTGTGCTTGAACAAGCACTGGCCGACCAGCAGCACTGCAGTGTACAGCTGTGGTGCAACTCAATGACCTCAGCTCAGTACTGAGGGGAACAGCATGTGATTCTATTGACTCTCGTTGACTTGTACGTGCCCTGATCACAGAATCATAGGTGAACAGCTTGCTGTATCAGACACACCCTTCCTGACATGCCAGAAGGCACCCTTAGTGGTACTGACTAGGGCCCCTCCTAGTCAATACCACTCTCCCAGGGAAATCACTATATTAACTGTCACTGTAGCTTCCTTTCGCTTGTTACTGAACTTCCAATAAAATGATGGGTGTGGTGAGTCATGCCTATTATATATTATGTGATATATAAATAATCTAATGTTGGGTGCAGTGGGTCACACCTATAATCCCAGCACTTTGGGAGGCAGAGGCAGGAGGATTGCTTAAGCCCAGGAGTTCAAGACCAGCCTAGGCAACATAGCAAGACCCCGTCTCTACAGAATTGTTTTGTTTTTTAATTAGCTAGTACGGCAGAGTCTGAGGGGGAAGAGCTGCTTGGGCCTAGGAGATCAAGGCTGCAGTGAGTCATGATCTTGGTTAACAGAGAAAGACCCAGCTCCAAAAAAAAAAAAAGACAATCACACAGAGTCACCATGTCTGGAAGAGGCATCTATTCTTTTAAACTGAGCATTCTCATAGACATTGTATTCTACCAGGTTCTGGCCAGCACAAATCCAGCTGCTATGAGAGTCGTTTGGTGGACACAGGCATTGGTTTTCCTTGGATGTCCAAGAATGAAACTGGTGGTCATAAGGGAGGCATAAGCTTAGCTTTTCGAGGCTTCCAAACTAGCTGTATAATCTACACACACGGTCCGACCATCCAAACAGGGACAGCATTCCAGTTGCTCTTCATCAACCCCAACACTTGCTGCTGTCAGTCCTTACAATTTTTAACATTCTGGTGAATGTCCAATCACATCTTCTTATGGTCTTCATTTGCATGTCCCTCACAACTAATGGCACTGAGCACCTTTCCATACACTTACTGGACACTCAGACATCTATTTATTTATTTACTTATTTAGAGACAGAGTCTCATTCCATCATCCAAGCTGGAGTACAGTGGCATGATCTCAACTCACTGCAACCTTCCCCTCCTAGGTTCAGGCAACTATCCTGCCTCAGTTTCCCAAGTAGCTGGGATTACAGGCATACATCACAGTACCTGGTTTACCTGGCTTTTTCTTTTTTTTTTTTTAGCAGAGATGGGGTTTCACCATGTTGGCCAGGCTGGTCTCAAACTCCTGACCTTGTGATCTGCCCACCTCGGCCTCCCAAAGTGCTGAGATTACAGGTATGAGCCAACACGCCTGGCTGATACTTTTACATTTTAAAAGTGGACATTGGCCACATGGTGGCTCATGCCTATAATCCCAGAATTTTGGGAGGCCGAAGCAGGTGGATCACTTGAAGTGAGAAGTTCAACACCAGCCTGGTCAACATGGTGAAACCACGTCTCTACTGAAAAAAACAAAAATTAGCCAGGTATGGTGGTGCATACCTGTAATCCCAGCTACTCAGCAGGCTGAGGCAGGAGAATTGATTGAACCTGGGAGGCAGAGGTTGCAGTGAGCCAAGATCACACCACTCACCACTGCATTCCAGCCTGGGCGACAGAGCAAGACTCCGTCTCAAAAAAAAGAAAA